CCCTAAACCCTAACCCTCAAACCCAGCTCCCCCCTTTTCCTGCCAGCCTCGCCTGTGGCAATCACCCTTGCAGAACAGGCGTCCCACGCATAAACGGTAAACCTCATCATGTGCCAAATTTGCCTGATACCAGAGGAATCCATAATCTAAACTCCTTAGAGGGGGTTATATATAGGGATTAGGGTTTAGGGTTTAGGGTTTGGGGTATCTCGGCGAAAGCCTTCCAGGTTTGAGCGCCTGCCACCCCCGCAGAAGGCTCTATCTCAAACCTGAGAGAAGTAGCAAGGGTGGCGATGGTGGCATGTGATAGTTTCCTAGGCCTGCTGGCAATGGACAATTGTTGGCTGTTCCTTCCGCTCACCAACCCCCAAAAATGCTTTCCGTTTCCAAGATTCTGCCCGGTTGACTGAAAGCTAAGCATCTCGTCAAACACGGTACGAGACACGCTCCATGACATACCTGTTGCAAGCCTTGATGTCTGAATGAATGGGGGGGGAACTCGCAACCACGATTTTCACAGAGAATATTTAAGACATGAGGGTTGTCTGAAATCCCTTGTCTTTGATTTACACACGCGAAAGCTAGGTATAACACAACTTGTGAAATAGTAGGCACTTGCAAGATCCCCGCAAGCACAGCGCAAGGAACTGCGCAAGGGCTCACAACGTGTGATAAGCACCGCACAAGTCCCAACTCGATGAAGGAATACTGGACAACCCACACGTGACTCCAACAACGAAGAGCAAGAAGAGCAAGCGTTCATGCTACATCCAGTGCCGACCTTCAGCTTCAGGCCCAATTCCTCAAGCAGAGGTTTTGGACCAGAAGATGGTGCAGCCTACAGCACGCCCCGTGTCGGGGTCAGACACTTTCGCTCGCCCCAAAAAAAGTCCCAGAAGGGGACTCCGAACCTGGCCCATGCAAGGATCCCGCGGAAGATCCGTTGCACATCTTACGCCGCAGGCTACAGGAAGGTACACTAATAGCACGGATCTTATTGAAGCACCTTGATTGAGAGGGGCCTCTGAGAATCAGAAGATGCCCGAAGACAGTTACAGCATGAGGCCTGTGTGTGGCAAAGCGGCGTGGAGTAGAGGCCCCGCAAGGATGTGCCCATAGCCACGTGCAAGATCCGAAGCGAAACTTACAAAACTAAGATACGCTTAGATCAAGTCCAGGCGGATTACTTGAAATCTGAGAGGTGTGCCTGTGCCCTAAACCGTAAACCCTAAACTCTAAACCAGCGCTTCCGGCTTCGCAGGAGCGCCGCCGGCTCCTGGAGCGCCTCCGCAGCTGCGAACATTCCTTCGAAGCCTGGCGAACCTTCAGGCCGCCTTTGAGCCGAAGACGTTGGCGCCAAGCGATGTTGGTGGTTTCCCAAAATTAGGGTTTAGGGTTTAGGGTTTAGGGGTTTCCCAATAGTACCTGCTATAATGGAGAATCAAATGGAAAAGAAAATGGAAAATGAAATGGAAACTGGGATTATGTAGGGATTATAGGGATTAGGGTTTCCCAAAATTAGGGGTGCCTTTTTGGGAGTCACTATAATAAGGACTATAGTATATTGGGTCTATATTGGGCTACCCTAATTTTGGGAAACTACCATTTCATCGAAGCATCCCAAACATGATCCCGCCCACCAATTAGAAGGCCATAGAAGGCCCCTTTTGTTGACGTTTCCCGGAAAAAAGTATTGGGGGAAGGATGCGAAGGCTTCCTTTTTTTGTTGTGGTGGTTCCTTGCGAAAAAGTAGTGGGGGGAGGGTGCTGCAAGCTGCCAAGCTCTCCCTGAAGGGATGCACCTGCCCATCTCCGCGCGGACAAGGAGCTTGCCATGGAGGCGGCGGCATGAGAGCGTGATGAATCCTACTTAAACATGCCTACGGGCAGAGCCCCTAAAGCACCCAGTAAACATCAAAGAAGGGTAAGTCGAGAGTTTATGGGTTTTATGGGTTTTGATTATAGGATTGTCGTACGGCTTGCATAGCTCGATCCCCCTGTTACGCCACGGCCTCCTGCACCACCTCCTTGTCGCAGCGGAAATCCTCCCACGCATACTCAAGGGCACCACCCCACTGCGAAACCGCCTGTTGCAGTTTCATGGAGGATTGCAGGGCTCTGTACAGAGGTTCTATGGGGCTTGTCCACTTCTAGCAGGTTTCGTAGGGTTCATAAGGAAACTCAACTCTTTTCCCTGCCTCTTTTTGGGGGTTTATGAAATTTTCTGGAGCTTTATCGGCTTTGCCTCTAGGATCCCTCTGTACGGCCTCGAGGCTGCGAACTCAAAAGTCTTCAGGGTGTTGTAACATAGAGGGTTTATGGAATTCCAAGAATTCTCTATAACCCTGATAAAGGCCCATCTTTTAAAGACTGTCGAGTTCTGTGGCTTTCACCTGCGCGACCTTGAGGCCCTGTGCTGGCAGCCCGAGCTTCTAAAAAGTAAAAGCCCCACAGCTCCCATAAAATCCCAGGCTGAGACTTAAACCCCATAAAACCACTAGAAATCTCCAAAACGCCTGTTAGAAACACCCATTTAAAGACTTTCGGGTTTAGCCGCCCCCACCAGCTCGCCATTGAGGCTCTACACGAGCACCCCATGCTTCTAGCTGCGGCTCACCCTGATCTCCAAGAAGACAGACGCTTCATGCTCGACTGTGTGAGGAAGACCCGCTGCTGGTGGCTTCCCCACTTCGCAGAAAACGGTGAACTCGTCAAGGACAAAGACTTCATGGCTCAGTGCCGTGCCGAGGTGGGCACGGGCCTGGTGTTCACCTACTATCAGAACTTCGCCTGCGCCGAAGATATGCGAACGAAGTTTCCGACTGCCGGGGCCTCCGTGCCGGGAGGCCAGGCCTGCTGGGGATCTGAAATAAGCTGCCGATAGGGATTGTGGAGGGGCGGGGGTGGGGACTGCTCTTGGCAGGCGTGTGGTCACTTTCCGGTAGGATTCTTCTGGTGGTTCCAGGCTCCTCCTTGGACTTTTTTTTTGGTTCATTTCGGGCAGCTTATCGCTTCCCTACGTTGTGGCGGGCATGCCTCGGGTTAACGCAATGTTTATCATACATGTGCGTCATCTTTCGTGTACCTTGCGGTGGAACAGGTCATTTCATGTCTTTCCCCCCGCCTTGGGTTTAATGTGCATCATGTGTCGGATACTTTGCGGTGGAAGCATTTGAATGCAGGCTGCGAAAAACGTGTTCCCAGGCGGCTTCCCAGCTTCAGCACAGGTTCTGCAGGGACCGCTTCCCATGGGCTCAACCATGTGCGTCTCTTGCCGCGGCCACATGCGTGTTGCTGACCAGGCCAGGCCTACGACAAGGTCATGGAGCAGTTGCGAGATCCTAAAAAGCACGGGAGCTCCTTGGCTGGTTTGCATTTGAGTTGAGGGAGGCGATTTGGGGAGTCGTCAGTGGTTCGCGAACTGTTGCGAACACGTGCTCAGGCACGGCCACCGTCTGGTTTGATGAGGAGCCCGTCTTCGGACATTCTGCGGCTGATGGCTGGGTGCATCCGCCCACTGACTGTGGCAGGGATGAAGTCCCTGTCCCACCACCCGAGTCTCGAGGCGCGAAATGGAAGTCTTCTGTGGACTCGCGCAGCGTCTCTCTGGTCGGCGGCTCAGGGGGGGCGCTGAGCTGTCACTTTTTTTTCGTAATGTCCCTACATGCTCCCAGACCGCTGCATGTGAGTGGCCCTTGATTTGTAAGACTCCTTTTATTGCCTTGCACCTCTCAGGAGCCCGAGACTGGCGCAAAATACCGTTGCCCCTTGGAGAAATGCTGGCAAATTGGGAAGTCTTGAGTTGGCAGTTGACAAGCTGGAATGTAATCACTGGACTCAGCAAGGCAGTAATGGAGTGGTACAAACTGAAATTCCTCACTAGCCACCCTAGCTGCTCTTCGGCTCTTGCTGTTGGTTTAGGGTTTTGTCGGGGGGATGCTGGAAGGTGTTCACAGTCTTTGATCCCATCTGTCAGGCTAAGTTGGCTCAATGGCAATCATTCGTCAGTTTAGCCCAGCCAAAAAGAGGCCCCATATCCATATTGATTGCCGCAAGAAATCCCAGGGCTAACTTCGACTTTTGGATCTCAAGAAGGCATACCGCGACCAGATATCCTGAGGTTTGGTTAGATGCCCCTGCGAGTTGTGTACATTTCAGCGATCTTGAGGTTGTATTGTGGGTGGTTTTGTTTCAGAGTCCCTCAGTGAGAAGGCTTCAATTAGTTTCGGGGCGTTGTGTTTGTTAAGAGACAAACAGCTACCATCGTGTTTCGGGGCTGTTTTGTTCACCTGCCTGTCCAGGACACACCCAGAATCCGGACATTGGCGCTTTCTTCAGGAAAGGTGGCAGATGTAAAAGCAATGGAAGCAATGCAGCAGTAAAGCAAGAAACGACAAAAGATCAAGGGCCACCTGTAGGAGACAGTCCTGTCAGCATAGTAGCCCGGACGAGCCCAAACTCCACGCATGAAGAAAACTCAACAGAACTTGATTGGATTGGGCGAGAGCTGACTTCTTATCCAGAGTAGTCAGGTTTTTTGGCACAAGCTCGTCTCCAGCCCGTCCAAACCGGGCTCGGAGACACGCTCACAAGTGCTGACATTAAATTGAAACTTGGGTTGAAACCCTAAACCCTGAACCCTAAGGGGTAGGGAGGATGTGGGAGCCGGGAACAGGCCATCTTCTACAGATGCATCTCAGCATCTTTAAACGAGTGGGAGGGCATACCAGAATGGGCTTAGGGTTTGGGGTTTAGGTTGTAGGTTTTTGCAGAAGCTTGAAAAGCTGGGAATGCAAATCGAGTGTTGCCTTTTTGTCTTTGCAGGTTCAGGGCAGCTGTGTTTTTTTCTTACTCGCTTGGGTGTCAAGCTTGTGTCAATTTTCTGCTTGCAATCCTCGTTTACAGAATTCCTGCGTAGATGGCTTTCTGGCCGCAGGCTCGCAGATGGAGTTGTATCATCCAAGCACTGCTTGCCAGCAGTGCTCAGAGTTTCAGCCGCTGCCCAGGCTGGTGCTGCCACTGGCTCCGGGAGGTACGCCGTCACCACGAGCTGGGCGAAGTCATCTGCTGCGCCGTTTCGAACATCTTCGTCAGCGACGCTCGACGATTGCGAGGGTGGGTGAGGTGTGGAGTGTAGGGGGGTCGGGCTTTGTGGAGGCCTTGGGAGCCTGGTGCACGCTGCAGGTCGCAGCTTGCAGGGGCTTCGGATTTCGTGTGAGCACCGCTTGTGAAGTGGGTGCAGCTGAGGCGTGGGTGAAAGAGTTTGGAGCTGGCTCCTCGGAGCTTTCGGACAAGGATGCCGAGAAGCATGGGCTGCCCAAGACGCTTGGACTGCTCGAGATCTTTCAGTTTGTTGCCCTAGACAGATATGCCGCATGATCAGTTCTGCATGCAGCTTCTCTTTCTCTGCACAATTCCCAGGGAGACCTTTCGAAATGGGCCTCCTGATGGCTGGGGTGAAGGCCGCATCCGCATCTCTGCCCTCTCCGAATTCGACCGCGCTGCCCCGGTGCACCCTCGGACGCAACTGCCGCTGGGGGTGGGCTGCCGCTGGGAGCGGCAGGCCCTGGATGGCATGGAGTTCCCCGTCTATGCCTTCTTCATGCCCTGAGGGCAGAGCATGGACGTGGGGACCGGTTGTGTGATGTTTTGGTTGCTGCATTTCTGTCAGGGGCCTGCAATGCTCCACCTAGAACATCTGAGATTTGAATAGTAGTTTCTGCGGCAAGTCGCTAGACAAGGCCTCCAAGGCTCCTCCAAGTGTACAGTCCCCGTTAAGCACATAACAATCTGGGGTGCATGGGGATCTTATCCTGATTTCGGGCAATTCCAGGTCCTAACTACTTAGCGGGACTATTATCATGCAAGTCCAGAGTTGCTGCGGACATCAGGGCTCCGTCCTCGCTTTCGAAGCCATCAGCACATTTGTGGTCATCCCCTCGCCCTTTCTATTCAGAAGACCCCCCCCCCGCCCCCCTAACAAGTCCTATTGTGGTATATTGTAATATTTGGGCAGCATTTAACATCAGGGGAAGGCGGAGTGTTGTAACATTAGGGGAGGGGATTAGTTCGAAGCTGACACGGGTCCGTTTGGATGGGCCGCCAAGCATCCGAGAGCTGACTATTGAATGCAGAACCTTCTTCCTCAATTCTCCACAAGCAGTCCCTAAACCAAAAACCCCTTAACCCTAAACCCTAAACCCTCGCCGGATTTCTTCACAAGTTGGCTTCGCCAAGTCCAGACAGGTGCGTGTCTGCCATGCCTTAGCTGAGATGTTCAATGTCAGTGTCACCGTTCAGTGCCTGCGCCTGCGTACATATACCGGGCATAGCGCTTGGAGGGTCAGGGGGGATTTAGTAAGTAGGTTACTAACCCTTATATGGTAGTTTCCCAAAATAAAGGGACCCCAATATAGACCCCAACATATTATAATCCTTATTATGGGGACTCCCCAAAAAAGGTACCCCCTAATTTTAGGAAACTCCCATATATCAACCCTAAACCCTAAACCCCCTTATATATCAGCCAGTCGTGGCAACCCTAGCTCTCCCCATCATTTGCCTACTTATTACGTCCCCATTTGCCTGTTTAGGGTTTAGGGCCCCTCACTTTCCAAGCAAGTCCCTAAAAGGGAGCGTAGTGCTCAGCATCAGGGCCCAGATCGCAGGGTCTTTCATGTGCAGATGCCAGTTCGAACCCAGGGAGTACCTAAACTGGGTTGCTGTTGAGGAACTTAAATTAAACTACTACAATAAGGTAGCCCCATTATTTACCGCATACCCATATTATGAGAACTTCACTCAAGTTCCTGAGCAGCAACCCGGAGGAAGCTTCAGCCAAAGATCTGGGGCTTCCATCCACGAACGCGCATTAGCGGGAATGCAAAAACCATAAAGACCAATCGGGGACTTTCGGACTTGCTGTGGGTCGTCTTGTCTTTGCGGCCCTCACCCAGGGTTATACCACGCACTGAACCTGAAACCCGAAACCCTAAATCCCATGGACCTTTTCACGTCCCGAATTTCGGAAGAAGAGCCCCAAGGCAGGCAAGCACTCCAGCACTGAATCCAGGCTGCGGCTGGGCTTCGTATAACTCTCCACTCCACGGGCTTCATGATACTTCAATTAGGCCCATAAGCACCTGGATCTACGAACCTACTTGAAAGCTCTAAACAATGTCTAGACCTCATGAATCCATCCCCATCCATGCCCATCCGTCATACATCGTCAAAGATCTGCAACATGCTCACGCTGGCCTTTCGTGTCCCCAACCCTTTGTGTCCCCAACCCTTTGGAGAACCCAACCCTTCCTCTCATCTGTGCCCTGGAATCTCTACGGGACATCGCCGGAGCTTCCACGCTTCCCAGGTGCTTTCAGGCCTACTTCCCATGTCCCAAGCCCGGAGCTTTGCCTGAGGAAGCTGCCTAGATTTCAGGGGCTGAGGGTCTTCTTGTTGCAGCGAAAGGCTTGTTGGTGAGGCTCCGTGTGGATATTCTAGAGCCTCCGCTGCAGGAGTCCAGGGGTGTTGAGAACCCTAAACCTGGAACCTTAAATCCTAAACCTTAAACTAAACCCTAAATGTCTTCTCAAGGAGCAGCTGCGAGCCCTGAGCAGCTTAAAAGTCGTGTGCCTGAAGCCCCTCCAAGTCAAGCTGTGGCATTTTGCCAGACTCCGTATCCCGAGCTTCTAGGCACAGCCCCCAAACCCCAAACCCTAAACCCTTATGGAGTGCTGGTAAACGGAGTGGTGGCTGGCAGTGGTCAACAGATTGAGGTGCCGCAGGGGAGGGTCAAGTTGGAGGTGGTCATGAGTGTGAAGCCGGATGTAAGCAGGGACACCAATGA